TGATTGGTTGATTTAAACTACAACTTTGAATGTGATTGGCTTATTGAACTGTCCGATAACAAACTGTCCAATAACAAACTGTCCGATAGCAACTTGGAAAGTGAATTAGTGGAAAATAGGAGTTTTTTAAGCAATCACAATCGAGGAAATTGTAATTTTTATGATTGAGAAAGTAATCTGTTGAGAAGAGTAATAAAAATAAATGGTGACTTTCGCGCCAGGGAACGCTCCTGCATTGAAATTTGCAGCCTCTTGACCTTTCGATGCAAACTTTTGCAGCTGCAGCTGCCTAAAGTTTCGACAGCTTGTTGACTTATTGTTGTGACTAGACTGCTTCTAGATTCTGAACTAGCAGAGGCACTGCTAACACTACCTTCTTAAGAATAATAATGCTACCTTGAATTTCTGTCCTGAAACCCGCCCATGCCTCGCTAAAATTTACACTCACCCAGCAATGACACAGCCGCAGTATAATTTTGTGTATTTTGAGATTATTCAAACTCAAAACAGAAGGCCAAACAATATACAGAAAACCTCACTCCAAAGTTACAAACTCAAATCAAAATTCTCGTTTATCCTGGGTGAGCTTTAACCTCCGCTTTTAGGTTTGCCTAAATCTATATATGTTTTCTTTTGAGGTTTATAGGACCGTAAATTATTCCGATGTGGACCGCAAATACTCAGTCATGTCAATTTTCTAAGCTAAACTAACGGAACACCTATTGAAGGCAATTGTCGCAAAAAAAGTTATCGTTAGAATAGACCTGTAACATGCCTTTCGTACCCACAGAAAGCCCTGTAAAACAATGTCTTTTGGATTAAAGAAAATGCAAAGAACATTATATTTGAACTAAGGAAAAGTCCTTGGGTCAAATGTAAGAGAAAAAGGCCTCTCTAGAAAAAAAGCCAAACAGAAAACCCGTCGACATAGGGTAACGACGACATATAGAAATAAATTTATTCATTGAGATATTGCCACCAGTCCCTAACTAAGCGAGTATAAATAAAAGCTCTGCATTCATTGAGGTATTGTTTACATTGCCCAATATTCCGTGCGAAAAAAAATAATATTTCTTATTTTCCTGTAGGATCATTTGCAGTCCTAAATGGGGATCTTTCGCGGTACATTTTAGGAATCATTTTGGTTTCGATTATATTACTTCTCAACGAGATTAGCCCAAGCCAATTTCTCACGGGGCTACATTTTTAAGCATCCTCGTTCTTTCAAGGCATTTTGTGTTGCTAAGCCATGTACAGTACTCACATCGCTTCAGATTGTTTTCCCAGCTCGTTCAAAACGTTTCCAAGACTTTGTAGAGTGAACGCAACTTGTGGATGTGCTCTGCCACCGAACAACTCCAGTTTTTCTTTCAAAGCCTCTCTTAGGTACCTTTCGCCTGTCTGAGGGTTTCCCAGATGACTATGCAAAAAAGTTAGGTAATATTAGATTGTTACGTTTTTTTTAAACCCAGGTACGATTATGTATTTTATGATTGGTAATGATCTTTTAAAATGACAAAAGTCTAGCGGTCTATGCAGGTCTGACAAGTCTTAAACATTTAATAGTCAAACCTCTTTAATACTACCCGACTTTTGCTACAGCGATTGTCAAATTGTGTGTCTTAACTTTGAACAACCTGCTAAGATCCACGACAAAATATGTTTGAAAAGTTAGTTATTCTTCCCTATACTTTGTAAATAGCCAGATCCACAGGGACCTCTCCAAACAGTTTGCGTGTGTTGAAATGAAACTTGCTGTTTAACTGTGTACACATTTTGTTTCTTGGATTATAGATTAGCATTCTTTGTACGGCATCTGCCTTCCTTGCCCTTGTTTGTTTGTATTTAATTGTTCCATTTCCTAGTGTTTTATTTAATTGATGTGATAACGTATTGTGTCACATGTGTAAGACGCTGTAAGTCATATGTACCTGTTACTGCAAGCCTCTCCAAGAAAATGTAACACATTGGCCAAGTCTAGCTGCACATTCCCTGGGCCCTTGTAATTCTTGAACAGAGATTGTGCAGTCTCTAAATGACTCCGTGCTTTTGCAGACTCACCAGAGTAGAGTAAACTCTCGCCAAGACACGCGTGACCATTAGCCATAGACAGAGATTCAAGCTCTTTTTCTGGTAGTCTGCTGCTCAGCTACAGAATAAATTTCAAACGATCTACTGTATTTCAGATAGCTTTTACGTAGGGGTTCTTTTTGCTGACGAACTAAAAGACCCCAGAAAGAGGGGGTTTCCAAACGGAATTAAAGGGATGTTCGTCGCATGTGATTTTTTATAGTTTGCTTCACCGCTTAACCGTTGTCACTGCTCACTAAGTCCCTCAGTGACACTCAGTAGATTAAATAAGTACTTCCTGAAGAACAAAAATAATTTCAACAACCTCGGCACCAAAAATGAATTCGAGTACTGACGTGAAGATACTTCTCTAAGCTTTTCCGACGAGCATCCCTTGCACCTTTACCAAGGACATTCATTGTTGATAGGAGGAAGAAGAAGAAGTAGAGGAAGAAGAAGAAGAAGAAGAAGAAGGAGAAGGCGGCGGCGTCGGCGGCGGCGTCGGCGGCGGCGGCGGCGGCGGCGGCGGCGGCGGCGGCGTCGGCGTCGTCGTCGTCGTCGTCGTCGTCGTCGTCGTCGTCGTCGTCGTCGTCGTCGTCGTCGTCGTCGTAGTAGTAGTAGTAGTAGTAAAAAGGACCAGGACGAAGAAAAAAAGGAAGAAAGAAAAAAGGAGTAGGCGGAGGAGGGGAGCAGAGGAGGCGAGGAGGAGAGAAAAAGGAAATCTAACAACTATTCCACTACTGCGTGCTGGGTTGAAATAGAACTTAATGCAGTAGACCACTGAATGCCTATTATATTTGAGTGCCAAAAATAATATCTGAAGAGGGTAACCTAGCAATCGAGAAGGTTAATTAATGCCCTGATGTCGAGCTTAGTGTACCTTGACAGCTTCCTTTAGGTGAGGCAATGTGAGGCGTAGCATTGCAAAGTCTTCATCCCTGCACCGCTGTAAAGCGTCTTTGCATACACTGCTTAAACATTTGATTACTTCCGAGACATCAGGACCTGACAACTTCGGAGTAGTGATGTCGATGGCATTTTTTTCAAACAGGCATTTAGACAGCCAACTAAGTTTAACTTCCATCCAATTTTGTTCTGCAAGTGAATAATTTAATGCGTTCAAGAGGAGATGATCTACCCCGATCATCCTTTCTTGATGCGCTCTATTCAGTAGATTACGAGTTTGGCATTATCGCGCGCTTTATCACAAAGTGTCTAATTGACAGCATTCTCCCTCATTTTCTGAGCTAAAAGTAAGCGAGTACAGCTGAGTTGACTATCGCTCTTACGATACAAGGGCAATTAGAGCTGACGAATCCTCACCACTCTTTTTCCCACGAGATGTTTGCTATCTGTAGTTACAAATGGTAACTTAAAACTTTTGTGTTTTCATATGGGGGTAAATTCAATTAGAGCTGACAAGCTATCGGCTTTTGTTCCCAGGATATTTAACAAAAAAAAGCTTTCATTTCTGGACAGTTTTTACGTCTCTGCAGTAGCAGTTTATTTTTATTTGATGGGCATTTTATGACATTCTTTTCAGTCCGATATTTTTAAAGGTGAAAAGTATGAAAACTGCTCAAATGCTCTTTGAAGACTGCGTGGCACCAAGTTAAAGTGCAATTTCATTAAATCAGACTTTCAATGTTTCAGAGAGGTTTTTTTCCTCTTTCTTTCTATTTTCGGTGAAGTAGTGTTGCTGTGTTGTGTTGTGTTGTGTTTAAAAAGGGTAAACTCACGACTCGTATAAGATGCGAAAAGGTCTCTTAACTTGAGTATTTTTGAGCAAAAATTCCTCTTGGGGGTTGAAAGCGCTATGTGATCTGTGAGTGAGGGAGTTATGCATGTGCACGTGTCACACCAATCACAGTGTGGGTTTTATCAAAGAACGAATCAAAGAAAAAAAATAAGATGGTATCTACATTAATCCGGGGACGTGTCAGATTAGTGTGGTTTGTTTAGTCAAACATTTTATGGCTTAATATTTAGCTACCTTACCATTACCGATGTAACATCGTATGCACATCATAAATTCCCAGTTTCTTTCTTGCTGTACATCGGTACCAAAAAAACTTCGCAAATTAATCAAATCATTACTGTAAACAGCTCCATGAATGCTCCTATCTCCGAAACTTCACACAAAAAATAACTCTTGCACGCCTTGCGTGCCTATGTTTTAAATTTCTCAATTGCTTTTCCAGCAAGAGATTTATAGCTGTTACTTTTGCCTTTCTCAGTGTTCTTGCGATGACGAGGGCAGCAGCCCAGAAAGAAAAGACAAAAGAATGTATCCTTGTGCAAAAGATACATTTGTATGTGAAAAGAGAAGAGTGAAAGAAGAAAAAGGCTAAAGCTAAGAATCGCCGCCGTGAAAGGGCAGAGAAAAACCGTGAGAGTGTTCTCTACAGTTAGTTAATCATCATCTTATCATGATGTTGGTATTGGTATAAACTTGGATCATTGTGGTATGACGCTTTCATAATTTTTAATTGCGTTAAAGGGGGTCACGTTAGAGAGATGGTCGCTGGTTAAAACTATTGATAAGTATAATAGTAATAATAACTACTTAATAACCTCGACCGTTCGGTCGTTACGGGAAAATCTCAAACTGAGGTCTTGCCGTGTTGACCGAGCGACAGCGAGGTCAATACGGTAGGCCGAGGTTTGAGATTTTCCCGTAACGACCGAACGGTCGAGGTTATTAAGTTGTTTATTATATGGCNAAGCAAATGTGTCACCAGTTGTATTGAGTGTTATAGACGATAGTGATGCTTCTGATGTTGATGGTAGTGGTGAAGATGATTATCATTATGGTGACAAAGATGATTAGAAGAAGATGCAAGATAAACGTCAAAATAAAAAAATGTTCAAACGTTATTGTTTATAGTGGTCACTGCGCTTAGCTACACCTAGCTAGTTCACAGGCATGCCACTTTAAACGAAGGAAACAAATATATCAAATAAATGTAATAGGCTTAAAAATCCCAACTGGCGGGAGGCATACCAGTTGGCTATTTACAAGCATGACCGAGGAGTTGAACTAGGGTCTACCGAGAAACAACTCCAGCAAAGTGGTCAGAGCGGGACTTGAACCCGCGACTTCCGGATTTCAAGTCCGGTGCCCTAACCACTCGGCCACGCTACGATATATGTTGATGATGGACATTTAAAACGCTGGACCCACATAGTAAAGCTTTGTATATGTGAATTCCTGTTGTCATATAAAGTTAGATTAATGAGGAAAAAGAGATGCATTATATTAAAGAGATTTCACTAACGTTTGTTGTCGTTAAATACAATTGTGAGATTGTTAATTTAACCGTGACCCACCCCTAATGCAGTGCAATATTTTTCCTGACCCACCCTTTTTGACATGTTGAAAAATGGTGACCCACCCCTAATTTTTCATAGCCCACCGCCCCTGTACTTTATAACCGGCCCCTAACATGTGATAGTAAACAAAATTGTAACTCGCAACTTACCTGGTGATTGTTCTTGCCGGCTGAGTAAATCCCTGAGAGTAGCGTGGTCTCTTGGATGTATAGTTACCACGTTAACTTCATCCCGATCGGAAACTTTTACAAACGAGCTCTCTTTTGCTGCTTCTGCTGCCTTTTGAAAAAACCTCTCCAGAATTTTTAAAGGTGTGTAGTGCTCAATCGAGCAGCATGCCATGAATTTTAAAAGCTATGAATAAAGAGAAGTTCGGCTCAGTAATTAACAAGGACTCGCGTCCTGTCTGACCTCTGTCCCGAAGGAAAGATAAAAGGGAGTTTAAGCAAATCGCTACGGCTGGCTCTGATACGGCTGCCAGAAGTAAATTTCCCCCAAAATGAGACACTGCGCATGTACGTCGGTTGCATCCAGCCGCAGCGTGAAATCTGACTACGTGAGTCGAGATGTTTTGCCGTAGTGGCTACTACTTCGGGTTTATTTCGCTTCTCTGGCCCTNACGAAAGGCTAAAATAACGAGGATAAATGCAAAGAGCTATGGCACGATCAAAGTGGAAGAAGAGGAGGGCGTGGACGAGTTCATTTACTCAGGATCAACAGTGAGTGAAAGGGAAGAGGTATGAAAGACCTGAAGAATAGAATTTCGAAAGCAAGGAGTGCCCTCCTCTATACTAAGAAGATCTGGAAGAGCGATAACATCACAAGGAGAACAAAGCTGCGATAGAACGAAACGGCAGTCTTGCTATGCGGTGCGAAATTCGGAAGATGAATAAAGGAGACATCAAAGCGGTAGAATGTAAGAACGTGTAAGCATCGAAGAGTTTCTAGAATGAGCAATGAAGTAAAATGGTGAAGATGGAAGGTAATTGGCCATATAGTACGGAACCATAATTGGCTAATACATGTAAGCCATATAGAACCCTATCCCTAAGATTTTTCACTGATAATTGTACTCTTTTAGCCTCGCACCTATCTCTAAAAAATAGGAATTATATAGACGATGCATGTTACCTCTGTTTGGTTTACGCGACTCATTTCCATGATCAGCATACACTCAGAAAATGTTGCTGTTTCCGTTTTCAATAACGACCATAAGTCTGCGTAAGTTAATTTTTTGTTGGTCTCTTCGTTGTACTCTCTTATGAATTCTCCAAATCTGAAATCAGTGGTAAAGGCATATCGAAAGTAACTAAGACGGCTCCAAAACTTTCCAAAGGTGCTTTTGGCAGCTTATATCGGTCCCGTTGATAGCACCTACTAACCGTGAAAGGTGGATATTTGCTATAGAGGTTTGAAAGTAATGCTTATTCTAATGGTAAAGAAAGAATCTAGATTCCTAAATTCGACAGCGATATTTGCAAAAGATCGGTATGCCTCCTTGTCAGCACTGTCTTGAAGATTATTTAGGGGACGCGTTAGAGGTTCGAGTTTGTCTTCGACTGAACAGATGAAACAGAATATTCAGTCCTTTGCTTCTAAGTCCGAAATTGAAAACTATTCCAGTTTACTTTTTCGCAAAAAAACCTGAGTTTTTAGATGGTACATCTTATCTTTTTTTAACGCAATGGAAACTTCTCTGCGCTATGAGAACTTTATGTGTTTTACTTAAATGCAACGATTAATTTAGAAGGAAATTACATCAAAAAGTTCGCTTGTTCGACAACGAGCGCTACGCTTACTCCAAAAACTTATGTCTCTTATCTTATCGAAACTGACTTTACAACTCTTAAGGGACCGATATCTGCAATCCTGATTTGTCAACAACCAATCTGGTAGCTCCTTATGGGAACACAGGAGATACCATTGGCATCTTCTAAAATAAGTCATATTCCAATACACTTAAATTAAGTATTACATACTTACTTTGCTATATCTTGGGGAAGGCACATTAACTTTTTGACAACTATGTCCTGAGCATACGTCTTATCAGCACCATTCGCAGGGATTNGACTTTACAACTCTTAAGGGACCGATATCTGCAATCCTGATTTGTCAACAACCAATCTGGTAACTCCTTATGGGAACACAGGAGATACCATTGGCATCTCCTAAAATAAGTCATATTCCAATACACTTAAATTAAGCATTATATACTTACTTTGCTATATCTTGGGGAAGGCACATTAACTTTTTGACAACTATGTCCTGAGCATACGTCTTATCAGCACCAATCGCAGGGATTCCACTTTTGGCTGCAAGAAATTTAACTGCATCTTCGTTTTTCATCTTACCAATTAACACTTTCTCCAGAGAATGGTCGCCTCCTTCTTTGGCCAGTAGCCTTGGATATTGAGTGGTCATAACGACTAGACCATTTCCAACATTTGGATCTCCTGGTTGCGGCCAAAACCTGCTTGGCATGTTCTCACTGGGGCCTTTTACCAAAAGTACCCACGGGCTGTGATGTCTGAGGTTCTTCCTAACTTCTTCGTAGATTTGATTCAGCGCTTCATCATATGCATTTTTTTGACACTGATTTTGCAGATTGATTTGGTGTTGTCGTCCCTCCGAAGTTCTGCTGAGAAGCGATAGCTCCTGATTCGCAACCTTTGCCTCTTCAGTCAGACCAATCTCTTTGGCAAGGCTGCAATAACTTTCAAGCATTGTGGTTTGGCTGTTTGCGTTTATTGTCCATAAGATTGCTGGTCTCCCTAGTAAATTCGTTAGTNAACATGGATTTCAGCTTGATATTTAAATTACCTCTTCCCAACCCCAAGGGAGGAGGAAAGGAAGTAAAAAAACAAAACATAAAATTCAAAGCGATTTTCTTATTTGTGCAGTTCCATTAATGATATCTCCATAAATGATAAATTTAGCAATTTTAGTGAGTGGTGTCGGCCAAGAATGACTGACCAAGAGTCCAGGGATTAAATGTTACGCTTTTCAGTCCAATTTTCCCTGTTTATTTTGAGCTCCATAAAGATGAGGTATTGAAGATGAAATGAAGATGATGTGTTGAAGGTGAGGTACCCTTATATGTGGAGATGGAGAATGCGCTCTCGACCTGTCATCAACTCCACCAACGGTACCGACGCATCACCCAAAATCACTTCGAAGTCGTCTTCAGTTCACCCTCGCTGTCGCCACGCTGTTTCTCGCTGCAATGGTATCCCAGAGGTCATGGGCTCGAATATTTTTTTTTTTTTCAGGCTTTAATTTCACAATTGCTTAAGTTGTGTGTAGAACTGCGATGATCAGTCGTGTCTTTCTCTGTAGTTCAAATATATGATCTTTCATGTGTTCATTTGTAAAGAGGTGATGAATTAGTACATCAAAAAGTGGCGAGGGTGAGGAAAGATTGAGACAGTCTTTTTAGCTTGACTGAATGTTTTAGATGTCCATCCGTGACGTGTCTCCATAGACACGGTGAAAATATTTGCACCAGTTGCACAAGTGTCAAAAAAGCCCTTTCACTTTCGATTTGATTTTCTCACCCTGATCTCCGATGTGAAAAGATGACGATTTGTCACCCCAACAAATGCTGGGTTTGTTAATTGAAATGTATCTTAGCTCATTTCGAATGCAAAACCAAGGGAAACGAAGCCTGAAAAGAGCGTGACACCGAATGGATGCATCAATGTGTATCTTCACTTCACGGAGAACTACAGCGATAGTACATGTAATTTTCTAGCCAAGGTAAAGATGACTTGAAAATCCTCTTCAGTCGCATCGCATTAGAAGAAACTTGATTTTTATTCGCCATTGGAGCTGTTTAAGTGAGCTGTAAAGATATTGTGCGAAGTTAGGTGCCCTTGTTCTGCCGGCGCTGGTATGTTCAAACTTATGTCATTAACGGGAACTTTGTCCTAAATCACGTCTTGGTCCTTTCGTTTTTAACTTTCGGCGATAATTTAAACTTAAATTTTATCGTGCTGTGTAGATAACTATTTTTGACCTTGTAGAAAGAAGCGCTATATTAAGAAGTAATGGCCCTCTATGTCGGAATTCACTAGGAAATCTTGCGTGGTTTAGAAAAAAGCGCGCTGTTGCTAAAACGTCCAAAGCTTGCAAACTTAAGGCCTGGTCTTGTAGCACACATGGCTTCTATTTACTATGATGCATTCGATGAGCAAAATAGCAATTTACATTCAACTGAAGTAAGACTTACGTTCCACTGTAAATCCGGTACAAACCGTCAGATTCACTAGGACTACATCACGCAGAACTTATGTTCCAATCGTTGCAAAAGGAGCCAACGGCATACAAGTCTGTCACCATCGGAGAAGTGAAAAGTCGAAAAAGCGTCCCCTAGACTGATAAGAGAGTTAGCCTCGAGTAAGGGACTAACGTAATGTTGAGTTTCTTCCAAGCGAAGTCGAAAGTCTCAGCGGGAAAAATCCCGGCACTTCAACTTCCTGTTCTTTGTTTATTGTGTCCCCAGTCTTTTCAAAGTGCTTTATTTATGCAAATTTCGCCTTGTGACGTAAACACTCAGCAACGGATCGACGTCGTATTTTAAACTTTAGTTCCTGATGAAGTTGAATAGCAGATGAACTATTGACTATGTTTATCACAACTAGAGGGAAAACAAGTCCTAAGGATTATCTGGTTTTGCTGTGCTTTTCAGGTATGAGCGAACATTCAGGTTTTTTTAGTGTTACTTTGACATGTTTGTTTTGATGATCAGTGCAAATGCAATATCAGTTTCTTAAACATGCCCAAGCCAAAACTTAAGATTCATGTTGTTTTATTTCGTTTGGCAGAATTAGATCAAATCTTAACTCACCGAGCAAACTATGGCTGCCGTCTATCTATTCCTCATACATCGAATATTTAGATAATATACTTTTTGAAATAGCAGTACATGTATCAAGTACGTTTTACACCGAGTTTTAGTACAATTAAGATACAAGTTTTAAAAAAAAACTCGCACTAAAATCGTCCTTGACATACCAAAGACCAACGGCCGTCACTAACGAACACTTAAGGCTGGGTCCATATGATCCCTATGTTTGCTGCAATTTCTACGATCGTTGCGGTCGGTTGAGCAACTCTTCTGACTGCTGCTGGTTTCCATACGATCGATACAATCGCTATGATTGTCGAATTAGAAGTGAAGAACTAAGGCCCCAGTTATATGGTCTCAGGTACCCGAGACAACCCAAACTCCGAAGCAACATTAGCGAGCGTTTAAATGTGAAAACGTAGTCTGTAGGCCGAGTCAAAGTTGACCTTGCATGATTATTCATAACCCATATTGAATAATCAAATGTGCAAATATCTCTCTTTCCAGTCTTTGAGGTTCCCTCGGTCATTCGATCACAGTGGGATTTGCCGAGTTAATCTTCATTTCTTTGATACGAATTTCTGCTTCGAATCCAAAATCTAGGCATTACGTGACACTCGCCACGCCGAGAGTTGTCCCGGTAGTAGGCCTTGGCGGATTGTGCTAGCATAATTTTTGGCATAATTGGAGCAAAAAAGCATAATTTTTTAAACGAGCACTGCTACGGCATAATTAGCAAATTTTAGCACTTTTTAGAGTATAAATTCATAAAATTTAGTAAATATGGTGTATTTCCTACGTAAATAAATTAAATTTAGGTAGTATGTTCTTGCAATGCGTGTTTTAGCAACGCTAATAGTAGTATTGACTTTGTTCTGACATGCTTAACTACTAGGCCTCTTTTGGCGAATTCTGGCGAATTTAGCGATCAGCAGGACAGCGCTCTTGCAGACTATCTCCAGGCCAGCGTAATGTTGCAGTAAAATAAGCGCTGATGTTGACTTGTGTATACTATTNCTGATCGTTTAATTCTCTATGTATAATTTTTCTAGTCGGCTTGCTTTGTTATTCGCCTGACGATATCCTAGTGATAAAGATGGCATATTGCGTTACAGAACTTATCTTCTCTCCTGCATCTTAATTATCTATATCTTAGATCTATGATGCACTTTTTTCAAATTAGTATTTTTCCCGTATTATTTCTAGTTGTCAGATGGCAAACGTTTTCAAATTGCTTGTCTGACTATGTACGAATTGCGTATCTATTTTATACGACTTGTAACCTCCTGCACATGAGTATAGGCTACTTGAAGCCTCTTGTTTTATTTATTTTATTTCTTGTTTCTGTATTCAGTTATTTATTTATTTACTTATTTATTTATTTAGTCATTTGTTATTGTTTTGTTAAAGTTTGCAATGAAGATGTTTATCTTGGTGGAAATTTTGGAACTCACAAAGGTACATTTTCAAGCCCAGGCTACCCTTCAAAGACCTACCCAAATAAGGAGCGTTGTACGTGGATAATCAAAGTCCCACTTGACTACCGTGTGAAGCTCTACTTCAAAGATTTTGATGTTGAATATTGCTCAACCGAAAAAGAAAATTGCACCTGTGACTACGTGGAAATTTCTGATGGACAACTTCTAATAGATAAGCCCCTTGCAAAGTTCTGCGGCAGTGAAATACCCCCCGATGTTACTTCCAGTGGAAGATTTGTCAGAGTTGACTTGGTCACAGACGAACTGAGTACTCGTAAGGGATTTTTGGCGCAATTTTACTCTGTTTCACCGGATGGCGTTACGCCCTCCAGTCTCAATCTTGATGCTGATAAGCACGTAAAATCTTTACCAACATCCACCGACCTGCCTGAGAAAGGTAATCGCGTACTTTAAACCTTGCATACTATTCATCAGCTGATTAGATATAATTTCCTAATAACCTATATATATATAACCTGCAAGGCACCATTTGTATCTGTGCTGCGTTGTCAGGGACGTGTCTACTAGTCCAGCCACCGACGGAACCCATTTCCGTTAGGAACATTTCCTGTATACATAATGATATAATAGTAAAACGACTGCAGTTACTCAGACTAGGATTTAAAACATTGTAAGTCACGTTTTTTTTCTTTCGAAAAAACATTTCACAAAGACTCATCGTGAGGTCTTGTGCTTGAAGCGTGAGAATTCAAGATTTTACTGGCACAAAAATATTGCTTCTTTTGACAACATAGAAGACGAAGAACCTTGTCGAGGAAAAGGTTGTTGTTGTTCATCGTGGTAGATGCAATAATAAAGTGTATTATCGTTTGTCTCACGATGTAGTCATTTGAGATGTACATCGCGACGTTTCGACTGCTTACTGCTAGTCTTCGTCAGGCGATAAGGTCGACTGATTGCACGGTATCACGAAGAACCTTACTGGTGTGATCATTGGTTGATAAATCTGAAATTTACCGTATTTTCTCGATTGAACGCCCGCAGGGTTTAATTCAAACTTGGCTTTGGTGCCTCCCCGTTTATTAAACTGCTGCGTGTGTATTAAGTGTTTTTATTGATTGTTTTCATTGGTATTATACCTATCGCTCAATACAACTCATGAAAATTTGAGAGGCTTATTTACAACTCTTCCTTGGAGACACGACGTTAAATTGAGAAAATACGGTACTTTCAAAACGCGAAATGAATGCGCCAGGTAATTCACAACTATACAGGAAATAGATTCCCAAGTAGTTTCCTTTTTAGACCAGAGGTCTAACGGCCTGTTAAAGATTGCTATTAAAGGAGCTACGTCACGAATCCTCAACGACATATCTAGAAACGTTTTCGTGCCATCTTTTTTTATTTTCGTTTTCTTGTTACTTGTCTGGTGTTATTCTACCTTGGATTGTAAGAAACTATTATTAAAGGTTTCCTTCAATTTAAAAGTGGATAGATGGCTCAAAATATCGTGGCACAGCTCCTTTACTTAAGTTTGAATAGTGACAAAGAGAGAAATACGGTATGAACTTGAGTGTTACATGAACCTTTTGACGTTTTTTACACCACTTGTCTCGGACTCAGACGTCTTTTACCTAATCGTTTAGCCTGAAAAGGAAAGGCTCCATTGGTAAGGGTGGAAGCAACTTCCCTTAACTAAATCTGGAAAAGTTGTCAATCATCGTTTGAAAACAAGCCTTAAAACAAGTCTTAACCCTAGTTCATGATGCCGGGGATTAAATGACATTCACTTCTGTTATATGCTTATCAATAAATTTGTTTTGTTTTCCTCAGGTGGCAACAGTACTCTCATGATCGCTGTCATGTGCAGTCTTCTTGGTGTCGTACTGATCGGTTTAATTCTCCTCTTTATTTACGTTAAGAAAAACAAACAAGCTCGACAAAACCAACCAAGACGTGCACAGCAACAGTTGACGAGCTCGGTGTCAGGTCAGGTTCCTTCTCACAGGAACCATTCAGAGCTTCCTCCTCCTCCTCCTCCTTACTCATCCGTTGTAGCTAGTGCACCTCCTCCTAACACTTCATCTACCACAATTCCGGGTCGTCCAATACACACGTGACCCACCGAGATTGTGTCATCATCGTCACCATTCCCTGCGATGTGACTCGTGATGCCTCAAAAATCTATAATGTCAAGAAGATAATTACGACTCCAAAACCACGAGATGCAGTTCGCTACATATGCAATAGAGTCCTATAGTTGTTTGGTCAGGGTAAAAAAGCTTCATGTCAGTTGGCTCAGGACAGTTTTACAATTAGTCCATCAGCTGAGAGCCAAAAAATTTGGGTTTATGGCTCACTTGAGGGGAACAGCCGAAACATGTCTTAACTTAATCTTTGACTATTAAGCATCATAAAAATGTATGATAGCAAGGATAGAATGGTAGCTTTCACTTTGTAAATCCAATTTTAAATTTGCCTCTCATACCTTTGTTTTGCCGCCATCTTTGATTTTAAGGGAGGACAACAAAGCTGCTTGTTTTCTTTTAACGTGCACAAATCGGGTATCAAAGCAAATTCAAAACGTATGGTAACTACAAACATGATATTCCTTTATTCTAGTGCTGGAACTTTAA